TGCATGAGTCGTGACTGTCACGTTAGCCTGATGGCACCAAACTCCCTTTGTGATTTTAAAACGTAAGACAGTACCCAGATTTCAGTGTTTCCCCTGCCATTATATTAGGGGGGCGGTCCGCCCCCCTTGAAGGTCAAGTTAATTTTATTTAATTATATTTTCTCTATAGCGCCAGATCACAACAGAAGTCATTTAAAGTTACCTTTCCTATAGAACAGGTTTATACCTTGCTCTTTTATTAAGCACACTAAATAGCCTTATGTTATTTATCTTATTTACACGACAGCATGTCATTTCGGTCTCTATGTTATGGTCGCGCTCTCTGCATCACGCACAGCGGAGTTCCGCCCGATGCGCACACACACACACACACACAGTGAGCCCACTCCCACTAGTATTTGTAAATATTAAGCCGCAAAACGATTCATATTTAAATATGAATTCTGCGTGTCTCTGTGTTAATGAATGGCGCAGATGCGCGGTTTTGTGTAGTACTCGTACTGAAACGCTTGTGACGCTTCCGGTGATATTAACGTCTGCCGTCTCACTAATGAGGACATAAATACATGAACAACATCTCCAGAACTGCTTTGAGAGTCACTTCATGAGCATTTGACCGTTTCATTTGAGTAAAACTATCATCATGTCATACACATCATGTCATCACAGAAATGTAAAGGTATTCACGGCAACCCGTCAAAATAAAAGTTCGGTTTAACTTGAGGGCATTGGCAGAAATATATTATTATTGTTGAGTAGAATGTACGTAACAGGCTGCTACTACTAAAATTATTAAAACCTTATTTTTAAGGAATAAGCATACAATATTTTTTCAATGTTTTAATTGTAATATTAAATGACCTTTACTTTCCAAAAAAATAAAATTTGTTTAATTTTCATTACTTAAAAGATAGATTAAATTAATGTTTTATGCCTTAAAAAAAATGTAAATACACAACTTCTGAGCAAAAAATCATAAGGCTATTGTAAGAATAAATTAAATTTGTTTTATGCTTTCAAATAATTAGACATGCTAAAACAGAATTTGGTTACAATAAAACATAAGGTTGGAAAAATAAAACATTTCATAGGGCCCTAAACATGTAATATTTGTTAAACTTTTAATAAATTTATGTTAAATTGTTTAAGTTTCATGATTTTAATTAATTTGACATGCTTTTTGATTAATAAAATGTAATTTAACCATTAAAAAGGAGTCCAAAAAAAACTCCAAAGCCGTAAACCTAGGGGAAACACTGCCTATGATGGAGATAATGTGAACTGGGTAATGGTTCAAACCCATTATGTCAGCATTAGCTCCATGGTGCAATGTGTTGGAAAAAAAATGCATTAAGCACTAGGCCATGGCTCTGACCTCATTGTGTCTTTACCGATGACTGTAAACCTATATGAGTAATGACACGGAAGTCACAAGCTTAGGATTTCTTTCTTTTGATTTAAAACGCAAAAGTTTCTGAGCACAGGATTTCCACAAAAGATATGTCAGGTTCAGTCCAAACTGGTTAACACTTGCCATATTACACATGATAGATTAATTTCCACTCACCTTCCAAATTTGTTGGCTACAACACCGACACTGAATGATCCCACCATTCCACCCACACTAAAGATGGCCACAGCAAAACTCCACACAATGGTGCACACACCCGGCTTGATGGGCTCCCCATAACGCTCCATCCATGTGGCATTAAAAAATGCTCGCAGTTTCTAAGAGGTTAAAAGGTTTTCATTTAAGATGGTCACTGCATAACTCCCATACTCCCATTTGTGTGTGTGTGTGTGTGTGTGTGTTTTTAAGTTTAACTGTTGAAATGTTTGGGGTCTTTTTAATGCTTTTAAAAGAAGTCTCTCATGCTCACCAAGGCTGCTTTTATTTGATCAAAAGTCATACTGAGAAATATTATTACAATTTATAATAACTGTTTTCTGTTACTATACTTTAAAATGTATTTTATTGCTATTATATTCCTATGAATTTTCCTATGAAGTCATTACTCCAGTCTTCAGTGTCACATGATCCTTCAGAAATCATTCTGATATGCTTATTTGGTGATCAATAAACATTTCTTATTATTATGAATGTTAAAAACTGCTTAATATCTTTGTGAAACTGTAATATATTTTTTTCAGGACTCTTTAAAAAATAGAAAGTTCAAAAGAACAGCATTCACTTGATATCATCTTTATCTTTAAAAAAAAAAAATTGTACTGACCCCAACAGTTTGAATGTGAAGTATATGTGTGTTTGTACTTTTGATTGGTACTACACACAGACACACACACACACACACACACAAACCTACTAACCTGTTCGGGGGCATTGATGACTCCTGTGTTGAAGCCAAACTGTAGGGAGCCAATTACAGCCGTTAATAAAGAAAACATGAGGTAGCATGTTACCTGTTTCTGTAAAACAAGAGAGAAAAGGATCACGGTTAGTTATTCATTCATCATTTTATTTTAAATCTATTTATTTATAAAAAACATACAATTTTTTATATTCAAAATTGTCTATATTTATAAAATATTTCAACAACATTAAGATGTCACGCTGATCACTTTTTCTTGAGATGTGTGTTTCTTTAAACTCATAGTTTACTGGCTACTCCCATATATTCTATTGTTAACGTTTGCTTGACTGATTTCTCCAAAGAAAATAATGAAAAAAGGTCAAGCCATTCATGAGATTCATAGATTTACATCTGCAGAATGAAATATATAGACAGCCTGGGAGGGAGTTCAACTGAATTAGAAACACTAATTCAGCAGCAAACAGATGAAATGAGAAAAATGACAGCAAGAAAGAGAAGAACAGTGTTAAGACTTAAATCTCTTTTGTGTGTGTGTTTGGGTGAAAATGTCCTTTAATATTCATCATGTCATATTCATTCATTTTATTCAATTTTGCTCTGACTAAAATGACATATACTTTTAGTTGACAGAATAAAAACTGTCAAACTGTAATAGACCAAATTCTAACAAAATATTCATGTTATTATTTAAGATATAAAAAATATAAAACATATAGTAATAATTATTATATTAAGCATAGAATAATATATCATTTATTTATATATAATTAATATATAATAAATTTCAAACAATTTTATTATTAAAATGAATCACACATACA